GGGCCCCACTGGTGGCAAGAGGCAGGCTGGTCCTTTGAGGGTTAATCTGCCGGGCTAGCTATCACAGGGGTCACTGAGATGTGCAGAGAAGTTGAGCATCCCAGTTCCCCATGGCTGGTCTGCTAATTACATTTGCAATTATAAGCACCACAGCCTCCCTGTTCAGGGACCAGACCACACTGGGCCAACGGGGCAACCAGATGTAACGGGCCCCAGGCCACTCTGGTTTCACCAGGAGAGTCTAGGGCCAGCTGAAGCCTGTGGGCCCTACCTCTGAGGAATGTTCCTCTCTGCAAGCACAGAGGTATGAGTGTGTTGGACAGAGATGGGAAACTCAGCAGGCTTAAAGAAGGTTCTGTCAGGGGTCACAGATGTATAACACACACACACACACACACACACACACACACACACACACTTTTTTTTTCTCCCCTTCAGAGCTGGAAGCAGCAGGAGTCTCAAGGGCACACAGCAGAATGTTCAGGATGCTTCCAAGCTGACTGACTGGTTTGGCTGCAGCCCATCCTCCTCCAGTCTACCCTATGGTTTCCAGGGAGCGATCTGCAGATCCTGCACTCACAGCCTACTCCTGCCCCAGGTACTCCTGGGGAATTACAGAGAAGGACACTAGGAGCTGAACATTCCAGCCAAGCTGGAACATCGCAGTAACATTGAGTTAAGAGTCATCGGAATCCAAGCTAGACACTCCCAGAGCCCATCAGCAGGGTTGGTTAATGCTGGGCAGAGCTTCCATTTATGCGGGAGGAGTATTTTGAGGGTCTTCTGCCAAGAGAGATGGGCAGACCTCAGGAAAGCTAGCAGGTGAAGGAGGGCATCAGAGTCAGGCGGTTCAGGGTATGGGTCTGGCTTTATTTGAAAAGGTAGGTCACGGCCTAAAGATCTACCATTTATTCCTTTAAAATTTAAATCGTGGCTTAATCATCTTGAGATGACAAGTTCTTACAACTAAGTTCTAGGAAGCCAGGTTAATAGCACCCTCTCTCTCTCTCTGGTCTATGTACTGTTGGCCAGACAGGCTCCTTCTGCAGCCTGCCCATTCCTAAGCCTTCCCCAGCTACCCTCTCAGGTACTACCACAGCCTGGAAATGATAGAGACCTCTGCTCTAGAGAAACAGACATTTTGCAGAGGACCAAGGAAGAAGAGAAACTTTTCAATGACTTTAGGTTCTCCTCAAAAGCCATCTGACAAAATGTCGTTACAGGAACAAGAAGCCCAAAGCACGGAGTTGTGGGAGCTTGGCTGAGGACAGGCCACTCTGAGAAGGCTGAGGGTGACATCACGTCACTCACAGCTTCCACCCCCTCCTACATACACTGCTGTCCCGAAAGTCTCCTCTGTCCCTTTTCTCGACTAAATGGGATATTTATTGATCACTCCAAATCAATAGAATGAAAAGGTTCCTGTTTGGGGGATCAAGTTGTTTCTCTCATGCATACTCTTATAAAAGAAAATCTTTTTTTCATACACACACACACACACACACACATGCAATAATCATTGGCAGAATAGAAGATTGTTTCTAAGATGAGAGGAATTGGTAAAATAATCTACCCCAAGAGGAAATTTCCAAGGAGATTAGCGCTTTCACTGACCCAGAGGGCCTCAGTCCTGACTAGAGCCCTGTGACACTGACCTAATGTTTTTTCTATTTATTGCCTAGGGCTGAACAACTCTGGTTAGCTATACCACCATCCTCTACCACCTCTCTACACCTCCAGAGGAGTGGCAGACACATAAAGGTTTCGTTTCTGGAGCCCCTCCCCTAGAAAACCACGACTAATGCCTTCACTCTGATTTATTTTTGAATGTACCATTAAAAATTAATTCCCCCCTTTGTTTTTCTCCAGGTCACTGATTTTGAATTACCATGTGGCATTTTTCCTACGTGTGAACCCACATATTTTACCTTCGGGACAGTTTGTTCTTTGTTTCCTTAACAACAGTGAGGTGAAGTGGTCCTCCTCCTCAGAAGGTGGCAACTCCACCCCCACACCACCCCCAGACACACACATAGGGGTTTTGTGCCTCATCCAGTCGTTCATACACAGGCAACTCGCTGGAGAGGACATTCAGCTTGCCTGTGGCAGGTCATACATGTACATGCAATACTGATTAGGAAGGATGAGAGAGTCACCTCCGGAGGGACTATGAGAAAATGAAAAGGAAGGGCAGTAAGGTAGGAAGGTGTACACATGTGTGTTCCTTTCTCACCTGGGGTGGTGCGGATGACACAGAGAATGTGACAAATGCTCTCTGTGTTAGGAGAGCCCTGTGCCCTTGAGCTTTCTAAAATCTGGGAATGTCAATGAATCCACACGGGGGTAAAAAACCGTATATACAGAGCACATGGTGCCCCCCCCCCCACATACACAGCACTCCATCACGGGTTCTCTGAGAGACATCAGCCTGTAATAAATGCATATATGCCGCCATCCTTCTAACAAGCCAGAGTGTGCAGCAACCCCCTGTTTTGTTACTTTGCTAGAGGAGGCTCTAAGGCTACCTGCCTCCTCCACATACTGGGCTCTGTCCTCAGCATGCTCAGATTCATACCCAGCACCTCTGTACCACTGGCAAATGCAAACCATAGCTTTGACAAACACCTGCAAATGAACTACCGCTTATAGCTTGGAGCTGCAGCTCGAAAGGTCCTGGGTTTAAAAAAAAAAAAAAAAGAGCAGTCATACTTTTGGCTTTTGGTATGGCTCATGGATGGAGAAGCTATTGCTATTGTTATTATTTTGAAGAAGAAGAAGGAGGATGAGGAGGAGGAGGAGGAAAGGAAAGAGAGAGAGAAAGAAAGAAAGAAAGAAAGAAAGAAAGGAAGGAAGGAAGGAAGGAAGGAAGGAAGGAAGGAAGAAGGAAGGAAGCCAGAAAGGGGAGAGAATCCACACCACTGCCAGGCTTACTTTATAGACGATTTTCACTTTACACCTCTAAGACCTCGGTTCCATCATCCTGTTTGTTGCCTCCCTGAGAGTCTCCTCTTAATCCACATTTCTCCCTAAACTGAAACCAGGCCTTCTGGGGGTCTGCTCCACACCGCCAATGCATACATTCCAGCCCTCCACGCACACACATTCTCATATTGATTCTTGATGACTTGAGCTAGGGACAAACACAGAGATATTTCAGGCTCAAGGGAAGAAGTCACCTCCGGAGAAAGGGAGACTAAATAATTTAAATATCCAATATTTGACGTACTTGGTAATTTTATGTGAGGAAATGTCCGACAAGCATCACGACCCACACCCCCAGCCTATTTCCTCCCCCCGCCCCCGCCGGGGGGTTCCCAAGACTCTCATACTCCCTAGGGGAGGAGCCTGAAAGAGAAGACCCCCTACTCCCACCCAGCAGCCCCAGCAGCATAACCTTGAAAGAGAATTGAAAAACTACTTTTCAAGCTGATGGAAATCAGAATCCATTATAATTAAGGACCGCTTTCCTCTCCCTCAGCACCTCCTTCTGAACCTCTGTTAAAATTCTGCAGGTATCTAAAACGGACTCTTTGCCAGGGGGAAAAACCCGAAACTAGAAGCGAAAGGGTCACTGTTTCCGGGGTGAGTGTTGGGGGGCAGAACAGCCGGCTATTAACAAAACACAGCGGCGGCGCGGCTAAGTTGCCTCCTTGTGCCGGCCCAGGCAAGTGGAAATTGTCTCCGAGGTGGAGGGTTCGAAACTTCACCTAACCAGAGGCGGTCTACACACAGCCTTTATTTTAGAGCTGTCTCCCAAGTTCTTTGGCGGGACGGTGCGAGGAAAGGATGTGTGGTGTGGAAAGGAAAGGACTGTAGTAGGGAAGAAAACCTGGCTCTGTAAGTTTCTTTCAGGAAAAAAAAAAAAAGAAGAAGGAAAAAAATAGGGGCAGGGGCATTGGGGATGGAGGAAAGAAAACCACAAAGTTACTTAGGAAAGCTGCCGGTGAGAATCTAGAGTTTTCATTAGATTCTTTTTCATCTTAATTATTAAGCCTGTGGAGGAGCATTTCCAGGGCGGCACAACCAGTATGAACGCTCCGAGTCCCACCAAAGCGCGATGGGACGCGAAGCGACAATAGAGAGACCTCGGCAGGTGCTTGAGCAGGTGGCATGGCCACTTTCGAGAGCGCGGGTGGCCCGTGTTGAACTGTGATAGTTGAGGCTTGAGGTTAGTTCTCCCTCAAGTACGCTCAGTAAGCTCGGAAAACTGTCCCAAGACCTCGGAGCCACGGAGAGTCGTGTCGGGTCGCCGCAGACTCAGGCACCGGTGTCGCTCGCTTAACCCACGTTCTGGCGGCGGCAGAGAAACAGCACCCGACGTGCTGCCCCGAACGTCCAACAGACTTCACCTCCGCAGCACGGAATGGGCCACCCAGCTCCCGGCGGGACACGGGTACCCAAGCAGGACGTGCGGAGCGCAGAGCTCCGGGCCCTGCCGCGCCCCAGGGGTTCCTGGGGACCGCCACACCGAGCGCGTCCCACTGGGACCCCAGCGCCCGCAAGACATTGGTCGCCTGCAGTTCCGCTCACCGGACCCAGCACACCTGGTTTTTCTGCCCCTTGGTGAAATCATTTTGGGTACCCAGGATGGAAACCAAAGCGACCGTGGGGAAGATTCCTAGGACGGGACAGAACACCCTTGTGGTCACGTTCCCGCACCTGTTCTGGGCTTCCGCCTGCCCGTCACGGAAATGGAGATATTTGTCACCGTGGAGCAAATTCAGAGTGAGCAAGAAAGCGCCACTGTTGTCTAAAAGTACGGGCTCATGAAAGAGGATGCGGGAAAAGTTAAGAGGAGGGTTTTAAAAACCCAGGCAAGTGTGCGGTTTGTCCCCTTCTACGTCCGGAGTGCCCCTCCTGGGTCCCTGCCACTTCAGGAATGTGTAGAAGAGGAACTGCGACATTCAGGATAGAGACACTTGGATGGGCAGAAGAAACGACAGACAGACAGACAGACAGACAGACAGACAGACAGACAGACGAGAAAGTAAGGCACCTACTGGTTGTGGTAGCCGAGGGGGTCCGGGATGCAGAGTTCGGACACGTCCATCAGTCCCGTTTTAGCATTCCCAGTTGGAGGAGAAAGGCGGCGGGGAAATCACGCGGAAGACGAGTGAAGGGCACAGGCGAGGTGCGAGTCCCGACCGGGCACCGTGAGCGCGAGAAGGCGGAGTGGGAGGACGCGGCCGCGGCGGGGGAGCCGGAGGCAGAGAGCCGCGCGCAGCTCCGCGCTCCCACTCATCCGCGCGCTCAGCGAACGGGCAGAGGGGACGCGAAGCCGTGGAGGAGGCTGGGGCGCCCGACACTTGGAGCCCACTAACCCTACTGTAGCTTTAAGGCTGAGAGACTGATGTATGATTTGGCTCCTATTGGCTATCTCTCAGGGGCTGGACTTAAAGTGACAGAATCGAGCTGGGGTGGGGGGAGGGGGGCCAGCCCAAGAGACTTCAATGGAATAGGACACTCCCGCGGGCAAGCAAGGTCTCCACCTCCTGCGGAGTAGGAAGGCTGGATTTTAGAGTCCTAAAGCCTGCTGTCTTGCTTTTGCAGCTGAAAAGCAGAGGGGAAAGTCAAACTGCTTGGTGGGACTGTTGGAAGGGAGGATGCTAATATACGCACCGCGCCGCCCCCCAACACCGGTACACAGCTCCGTGAACCGACTGGCTTGGCAACTCCCCTCCCCCCCGGCCCCCCAGTTTCTTGGAATGGGTTTGTTCTCCAAATTAAAAACGAGTCACATTCCACACCATCACCAACACGGAGAAGCCACCAGTGGCTTAGAAATTCGCAGGCTCTAACCTCGTGTTTAGTGCGCAAAGGGTCAGGCCAGCAGGTGAGGTGCAGCCAGTCAGAGGAGAAAGACAGATTCCCTTCCCTGCCCCTGTCACCTGGGCCAGTCTGCTCTGAACCGCTGGCATGTGGCTCCATGCAGGGTGTGTGACCATAAAATGCCTCTAGACTACAAAAGTCAGGCTTTGCCCATTGGCAAATCTCAACAGTGCAGTCAGGCAGGCCCCAGGCTCCAGGCATAAATCCCTGTCTGCTTGGGAAAACACAATTGTGCTTTTAAACCTCCGACTTACCTGCCACAGCTTCTCTGAGGCACTAGTTGACACTTTCAAATGCACACCTGAATTCCCAGCTATGGACGCACCTGCATCCCCGTCTGTCTCTCCCTCTATGAACCAGAACATTATGGGCTGCCACTGTACCAAACTGAGCCATAAGTCAAGTCTCAACTCTTCCTGTGGGGCTTTTCACCTTGGGGATGTGCCTGCCGCAGGGATAATAATCAATTTGATTATGTGTGCTGGTGTGGATACAGAATTATTTAAAAGGGGGAGGAAAAGCCCTCAGGAGAGAATATTACCTTATTCTCTACAAAAGACAATGAACAGTGTTGGGGGGGGGGTGGCACGACATAATTTTATCACCAAAATAATGTCTAAGCGGAGGGTACCTGTAGGCAGTGCTGTGTGTTTGGGGAATAAAGCTGGGAGGGCAGGTGCTGAAAGCCTCAGGAGGGGTTACCACTGTGGAGGGACTTGGGGAGTAGGCACCGGCTTCAAGGGGGATGTTTGACTTGGATAAATGCACTAGTCAAGGCTGGGGAGGGCAGCTGACACTGTTCACCCGTGCTGAAGTGGAGGGAAGTCTGGGGTGGTCCTGAGGCATCGTATCAAGAGATGGACAGGAATGTTTGCTCTATCAACAGACCCGCAGAAGCCCTGTATCGTTAAAACAAAATAAAACAAGCAAATAAACAAAACCTAATATGCATTTTATTAGGGACAAAGTGACGCAGAGGTATTGTCCTTGAGTTGGTTCCTACATGACTCCCATATCTTGTGAAGGCCTCATTGACGAGCTTCTCTGAATTCCTTCCCAAAGCATACAGAGGACTTGACAGTGCTTTAAAAATACACAGTTAATGTGTCCTATCGCAGTGAGGAATGAAGCCTGCTCTTTGGCCTGTATGGCCATGGACACATGGCAGGATGCTGTAGGTGTCTCTGTACCCCTCCACAGTCCATCACTATAGCTGCCGTCTTGAAGACCCCTCTCTCCCTCCCAGACAGCACCCAAATCTCCTGCCAGTCACATTGTTTCAAGTTGCTTAACACAGTTACCAATCACAACTGTATTGATGTGAGAGGTACCACCCCTCCTCAATAGATTGGAAGTCTCGTGAGAGGAGCGACTTTGTGTCTGTGTGTGTGTGTGGTGGTGTTCACTGGAGAATTCCAGCATTTTCCACCCAGCAATGCCTTGTGAAGAGCAGCTCATGGACAAAAGTTACATACACAGTAAGATCTTTTTTTTTGGGGGGGGGTAATCCCTTTCCCAGCATACAGATGTGTGCCATATTGCCTCCATGTGCCAGGCAGTGACAGCTACAGCCCCCACTCAGCCCCAAAACATGGGGGACCCACAGTGCACTGTGTAGCTTAGCCATGAGGTTCATTAGGATGGATATGTTCAATGCCTTTCCAGCCTACAATTGTTTCGATTCACGATAGGTTGATGAGGATGTAACCCCACCCTGAGCCAAGAAGCACCTGCATTTAGAACTCTCATCTGGTTTGACAAATGGAAAGAGTCATACACTTCCCTGTGTGTGAAATGTCCTTCTCCAGGTCACACAACAAATACTGGCAAAGCAGGCCAGAGGGGTCTGGATTTCTGCTTAAAACCACTTCTTAATGTTTGCAGATGGGCCTCTCTCCTTTCCCTGCCTCCTCCTTTCCTGAGCACAAGTTCTTTCAGAAGTTATGGGTTATTAGCACCAGCCTCTGGGTGTATTCTGCGCATAGATACACTGGGGTCTGGGCATCTGTGTCCACCTCACGATTACATCATGATGGACTCCTGGGAGGGCAAAGGGGATTGCTGGTTGGTGAGGGCCAATTTCATGACCTGCTCTCCTGCCCTAATACACTGTCTACAATCACGGCCATTCAACACAGCCTACTATGCTCTAAAATCCCATCCTTCCCTTTGGACAGAGAGGTCCAAGTATTCCATGAATCCATTCAAACACAGGTCCACATGGGCCCATCCTCTGTTTGTCCCATCATAGCTGGCCTCCGTGCTTAGTGTTGCCATAATGTCTGCACCTGGGTCTTTTGCCACCTTGGCAACCACTCCAAGCACAGCAGCCCTCGTCTCTAGTTTGGTTCAAAGCACGACTTTGTTTCTTGAGAGCCCAGTCTTTATTTTACCCTCCATCCCTTGGGACAGCCTTCCTAAACCAGTCTTCTATTTTCCACAAATAAGACCATAGTTAAGAAATCTCTGGCAAGTTCCATAATTTCCTCCTCCCACACGCTCTAGGACGCTCTAGGGCTCTGTTTGTAGCCCTCAAGCCACAAAAATTCAATGGAACTGGTGGACCCAGTTTGGTACCCGCCCCCCAAAGGACTTGATGGCATCATCATTAAAGAAGATCAGCAGATGTTAGGACTTGCAGTTTAGGTCTGCCTTCCCTCACCCATCCCCACATCTCCTGAAGTCAAGAGTGCAGGGGAGAACAAGGCTATGGAGAAACAACCAACATGTGGACATGCTTCTTACCACCAGTCCGGGAAGAGGAGGCTGACTCCATGGAATCCTTTGGATCATAAGCCAAACCCAACTCTGCTCCAGTCCATGGTGAGGACTAGAGAGGGCTGATCCTGGGAGGACATCCATTGACAATCTGCAGTGATTAAGGCAGGCCTAACCAAGACCTTAGCCTGTGCATCTCTGAAGACAGTATGTCATGGGCTCCAGACTGGAGGAATGTCCCCAGCCACACACCTCTGCTGATCTGCTGCTTTCTCATATGCTTGAATCTGGGTATGGAGTTATATCATCCAGAGGGGGCCAGCAGGCTGCCAGCCCATTGGCTGGCACTTGTGCCAAGGATCATAAGGAACTGATAACACTAATACAATGTGAGTTTGTGCTCTGTAATAGTCTCCTGCTGACAGATAAATGCTACAGAAACATGATGGCTTTTCCTGAAGCTCTAATGGGCCATTATTGGGGCTAGAAAGCTTGTGTTCTATTACCACTGTCACCACAACACCAAAAACTATGAAGGGGGGATCTCGAGTGGATAAATGCTGGGGTTCTTGCTTAATACTCCTATCTGTAATCCACACCAAGGAAGAGTGTTCAGATATTTCAAAACTCTGTTACCTGTCCCCTCATTACTCCCCAAAGATCTCATGCTCCCCAACACAGTATATACTAGTATACTAAAGCTCCGTGCTCAGCATACAGATTGGTTCTTCCTGTAGGCCCTGTGAGGAAGACAACAGAAGCCAGTAGGGAGAACGAAGGACCAGAAAACTGAGAGACAAAGATTTCCCTTCCTTCCTCCCTATCGCCAGGACAATCAGACATCATGGCTGTAATAGCATTGTTGACATAGTTCTAGGGGGAGGAAAGGAAGTGTTGGGAGGACACAAAGAGAGAAGAGACAGAGGAGTGAGAGAGAGGAGGAAGAACAAGAAGGAAAGCCGTGCCTTGACAGTACCTGGTAGCTAAGCGGCATTGAACAACGAGCTATTGACTGGATGAATGATCTAATTAAGTATTTTCCATTACAGTGCATTCTGGGTTTTTTTTTCTTATAATAAAGAAACTTGACCTTATTTCTGTCTGTGTCACATATTAATTTATCATCCAATTTCTTGTGACTCTGGCATCAATTTGAGCACAAAACATCCTTGCCTAGAAATGATAGTATAAGCAATTCATCTCGAGTCTTATTGGTAAAGAAAAACTTCTCAACCAATGATAGTTTAACTACAAATGTTTCGCTGTCAAAATCCTCTGGATACAAAGGAAATGGAAAATTGAACTCACATTTACATTTCTTTTTTAAAAATTCTGTGTGTGATGCTGGAGAGATGGCTCTGCGGTTAACAGCACTGACTGATCTTCCAAAGGTCCTGAGTTCAATTCCCAGAACGTGACTAAATTCGTTCTCTCTCTCTCTCTCTCTCTCTCTCTCTCTCTCTCTCTCTCTCTCTGTGTGTGTGTGTGTATGTGTGCCATGGG